TCTGTTTTTTTTTTTTTTTTTTTTTTTTTTTTTTTTTTTTTTTTTTTTTTTTAGCATTTGGCCCATTTCCTTGTGTTACCCATGTGCAAACTGAAAGTCTTCTCTGCTTCACTGTCCGTGCTTGGCTCAACACAAATGCAACATTTATCACAGTAAATTAATTACTTTTAAAACACTTCCTGCAATAAGACCCCAGAAAGAAAGAAAATTTTCTGTCTTCTTTTAGATTTTTCATTATATTTGACAGGATAGGGAGATTATAGGCATGGGATTTGTGTTTTTACATTTCTATTCCCTCTTGTTATATGTTGGTCATAGGTCATAGGGAAAAAGGACTAAGATTTATAAAACTAATACTGAAGTTTTCATAACTATTCACCAGAGCATTGAATTTAGTGGTGAATTCCTCTGTTAGACTTTCTGAATGCATCTTCAACCTTGAGTAGTAACTCTCCCACTTACAGCTTCAACAGAACAGTGCTCTTGAATCCATGTGTCTGTAATCTCATGGATCCTCTAAGGACAAATTAAAAGTATATAATAAAGACAAGATGGTTATTTACCTCTTTCAGTTCCATTGTAAATTATCTATTTCCCTTGTAGTAGAAACCAGAAGTGAAGCTCATTAATCTTTGTTGAACTACTTTGCAGGACCTCCATCTGCACCAAGGAACGTTATCTCTAATATAAATGAGACCTCAGTTATCTTGGACTGGAGTTGGCCCCTGGACACAGGAGGCCGGAAAGATGTTACCTTCAACATCATATGTAAAAAATGTGGGTGGAATGTAAAACATTGTGAGCCATGCAGCCCAAATGTTCGCTTCCTCCCTCGACAGTTTGGACTCACCAACACCACAGTGACAGTGACAGACCTGCTGGCACACACTAACTATACCTTTGAGATTGATGCCATTAATGGGGTGTCAGAGCTGAGCTCACCACCAAGACAGTTTGCTGCAGTCAGCATCACAACTAATCAGGCTGGTAAGTACATGCTGGATTCTTCTTATTCCTGCCATCTCAGAGTTAAGTAACAGTTTTGCCAGAGAAAGTGAAAAAAAGGAAGGGGAAAAAAAATTGAAAGGCCTCCAGGATTTTCTATTCTATCATTTTTAGATAGTTATGTTACATTAAATAACTCAATTTAATTGTTGAAGTGAGGATGAATCATATTTGTTAGATGATTCTAAACTGATTTAATCTATTGCTTTCCAATTTGGAACCTTTAAATATTTGAGGCTCTAGAGATAATATTTGTGAGTGTCCTTGAAATATTTTCGTAGTTCAAAGAACTTAACAGACATTGAAACAACTGCGAAAAGTTTATGTAGGATATTCGAAATTAGAAATAGCTTTACTTTAGTTACAATTATATCAGATTTTTTGACAGTTATTCAGTTTTTCTTTTGATTGTCTGATGCTCTAAATATTATAGCTCGGAAAGTTATAATTATCTGAATAATTAAAAATAAAGAAGAAAACATTTTTATTTAGTGGCTATACTTTGTATTTAAAAATCCAAAGTATAAAATTGGTGGAGAAGCATAGTGAAAAGAGCTCTTGGGGGAGAACATTTAGAAATACTAATCTTAAAAATTTTCTGGGGTAAATTGTTAGGTGATTTTATCACTATCTTTTCCACTGATAATCTTTTCCTAACTTAAAAAAAAAAAATGCTTCTTTGGCAGGTTGTAAGCAATTCCCTTTAATATGGAATGAAAAAATTTAAAAAGCAAACGAACTGCTCACCTTTCTTTATCATACATCCACAACATTTTCTTTTCTTTATTGTTAGTACATCTTGTTCTTTCAATCACTCATTAAATCCTCTATGTGTTTTCTAGTTCTCTGATAATTCCTATGATTTTTTTCTATATATATATTTTTAAGTGTGGTGTTCAAAATTTTTTATGGGATTTTAGTTGCAATTCTCTCAATCATATAGAAGTGTTATACTTTACAGACCATACAGACACATACCAGTGACACTCCTTTGAGGTAAAACAATCATTTATTCAATGTTGACAACTGTGATCAATGAGTAATAAGCAGTTTTTGGTATGAACAAAGCTTGTGCAAAGTTAAGCTGATAGATGTTTATAATTGTTGCTATAAGATATCATGATTAAGGATACATTCTAAACAGTTCAATTCAGAGATATCATTGTATCATTTATACCCAAACAAATAAACATTGGAGCCAGAAAGGAGGGAAAGGAAGAGACAAGATAATGCTCCCTGATAATGTTTCAACTAGAACTACAGATTCTTGAATCTGTTCCCAGATGGGTTTACCCCTTAGCTGGAAATCAGGATTGAGTGTAAATGCTTTTCTCTGCATTTGGCATAAATCGTGAAAGTTCCTCTGCTCTCTGGTGGGACTTGCCCTTTGCTCTGAGGATATATATACTGAATGTCTCAGGAAAAGGAAGTGGAGAGGTGACTAAATACTCCTATCAACTGGAAGAAGTTATGAAGCAGCCAAATAACTAGCCAAAAATACTTACCACTTTTCTTTCTCTCACTTGGCTGACTCAATAAGGTTAGGTAAGCAACTAAGGGTGCACAATTATTAATATTAGACTTGCTAATGTCCAGCAAATCTATACCAGTATGACTGATGCTTATTAAAATTCTGCACTACTATTCTAGTGAGAAGTAGTTCTACTTCTGCAGGTTAATATGGAAATGCATCTGTTCTGGTTAATTCCTCAAGTACCCTAATAGTATCCAAAACCCAATATCTGAGGTCCATTCCTTCCCCTCTCCCTCATAATCCAGAAACCAAAAGGAGAAATCTGGCATAAAAGAGGCTTCTAGGAACTTATTCCTCTTGAGGGGTCTATGTCCTTGACATGCAGGTTGATAGATATTTTGAATATAACCCTTGGCATTGTCCATGCCCAAATGCTTCTCTCTTTGATTCCAAACCCCTCTCTTATTTCCACTTTGCTTTTACTCTCTATATTTATGCAAATTTTACACTTTTAGTGGTCTCATGATAATAAATAAGCTTTATTTGTGAAAAAGACATGACTTTTAAATGAAGTGAACTGAAGTATCATTTAATTTTGCTTCCTGAATCTGTAATTTGTCCCACTTGAAGCTAAATTCCAGACCAACTAGACTTTTGCTTTACTTCAGTTAATGATATTTAAATTCTGTTACTAATAATATTTAAACATTTCTAACTTAAGTTTACTTACCTATCTTTCATGAAAGGAGAAGAAAAAAGAGTAATGCTATTGCTATGTATCACATAATTGTAACTTCTCATATTCAGTGAACATAAGAATTTAAGAAATTATAATTGTGTGGCAAATGGCTTTCCCAAATCCTATATTTCATGCTGATTTACTCTTTTTTAAAAAATGGGAGCATCAATCGGTTTTATGATTATCTCCCAAGTAAAACAGAAACATATAAAAACAAGCAAGAGCTCCTTATTTCCTATCTTATCATCGACCTTTGGCTTTCTGACAGTACATTTATCAGAAAACTAATAGGTTCAGATGTGTACAGTGAATGAACCTAGGTAAAGTGGCAACCAAGAGCAGGCCAAGACATTAAAAAATAAATGGGGATGATGCTTTGGCCCTCCCAGTTACAAATCACAGGGCAAGACAGGATTCAACAGGGATGATATCAGTTACTCTCCCTAAACCCACTCTCATTTTTTTTTAAATCACAAATTTATCTACAATATGCACCACTAGGCATTTTGTATATTTATTTCAGGGTACATGTATTATTTTGTGTGCCTGGGGAGGTAGAGGTCTTTGTTCCATCTTCAAATCCCCACAGTAAGATGTATAAACAAGGTTAGAAGCAATGCATTTCTCCAGAGAGCGTTTCTTTGTTTTGCTTTATTTTTGTTCTTGTGAGAGTTAATGGACGGGGAGCTTTGAAAAATGAGCTCCATACTACTAGAAAGATATGGCCATGACAGCTTTGATGTCATGTTACTTAAATTTCTCCCAGTCTCTCTATCTTTGACATGGACATAAAGGGGAAACGTGAATGTGTCTCTTTTAATTTAGTTTGTGAGATTGAGTTTGTTGCTATTTCTCTTGATTATATTGTAAAAGCTATATGATGACCACATGATAAGGCACCTTCTAAATTGTATGGATTATGCTGTAAATTCGGATGTTAGTTCTCAGCTCTCAATATTTTCACAAAGTATGTCAGTGAGATAAAAAGCATGGCCTCCACATAAAGATTGTATACATGAATTCATCAAACATGTACAGAAAGAATTGCAGGTTGCAAAACAAATCCGCAAAGTTATAACTTGGTATAAATTGCTACTTTGTGTTTTCTTCCTTGAATGATTATATTTACCTTTTAGTTCCAGAAACCATCATTTTGGAACATTAGTGCAATATCTGTCTCAGTTTATTCTCAACCTTCATCATAAAATCTGCCTTTTCCCCCACTATCCTGTAATATATAATAATCTCAGACTAGAATAGGGGTCACTAAAATAGAATTCACAGGCTTTAAATTTTGAAGTCCACCCCCAACCCTATTTTATAGCTGAAGAAACTGACATTTGAGAAGTTTTTACAATGTTTCATCAAGAGATCAAACTTCCACTAAAGTCTCCCAACTCCAACGCACTTTCAGCTTCTATTCTCCTATTCTGTCTGCCATTCTGTGATTCATGCATGTAGCTACGAAAATAAATGCTGCCTTGGAGACAGAGAGGAGCTTTGATGGGAAAATCTACTATAACCTATGCCATCCACAATAAACTTGGTCCTTCCTTCTTAGTCATATATCACAGGGTTTCTTAGGGGTATTCTGCAAAAGATATTCCTTGTCATCCCCATTCTTACCCAAACTCAATCTCATTCTTTACTCCATTCTTCACAGATGATTTTCCCTCGGTGATACTGTGATTTATAATAAGAAATATATATTTAGTGTTGGTCCCAGTTTATGGCATAGAGCTCCTAAAACCCTTTGAATTTTCTAGGTGATAAGAGGAATAAAGGTATATTTTGTTATTCACAACAACCCCTTTAAACCGCACCTGAGTCTATGTTAGTAAATTGACATTTGGAAATCTCCTAAGGATAGGGGCTGGTTGCCAATATAACCGAACCTTGTGATTAGAGGGTTGGAATTTTCAGTACACCTACTCTCCACCTGTTCCAGGAAGGGAGAGAGGCTGAGATAGAGTTCAATTACCTATGGTCAATGATTTAATCAATCATGCCTATCTAATGAAGCTTCTTTGAAAACTCAGAGGAGGTGGTTCAAAGATCTTCTGGGTTGGTAAACACATACAGGTGTGGGTAGATGACACACCTGGAGTAAGCATAGAACCTCTATACCCCTTGTCCCCCACCCTGACATTTGCATCTTTTCCATCTGGTTTTACTAAGTTGTATCATTTGATAATATAACAAACTGGTGATTTAGTAAGTAAAATGTTTTCCTGAGTTCTGAGACGTGCTCTAGCAAATTAATTGAACCTGAGGAGGAGGTTGTGGCATCTCCTTTTTTTTTTTTTTTTTAACAGAGAAGATGATAAAAAATACATTTAAAATGTGAAAATTCAAATATAACAAGCAAGGAAAAAATATGCCTAGTAGCTACAATTTTCATTTCTATTACTGGTTATAAGGATATAATTGATATTTATAATTTTGTATTTCTTTTTTCAATCCCATGGTTCTTGCACCTTCAGCTTGGGAATTTTTACTTGATGGAGTAATTTGAAGTTTTATTTCAGAAGGGCCTGAGGTTTTGTTTTGTTTTGGGTTTTTTTAACCAGTTTATTTTTTTCATACTATATATACATAATTTTTTTAACATTTTATTTTTGTATTTCCCTCCTCTCTCCTCCCCACTCCCTTCTGTAACCACTAGTCAGTCCATTGTCCATGTTCATGAGTCTCTGTTTGTCCTGTTCATTTGTTGCTTTTAGGTTTATATTCCACATATGTGATATCATGTGATTTTCAACCTTTTCT